CCTCTCCTCAGCGGGGTTTGGAGCTCCGCCGCTGTGTCAGGGCCGCTCTGCCCTCTCCTCAGCGGGGTTTGGAGCTCCGCCGCCGTGTCAGAGCCGGGGCTGGAGCGGCTCCGTTCAAATCACCCGCGCTGCCCAATGGGCGCGGAGCCGCTGCCCCGGAAGCACTGGCGGTGCTGCGGGATCCGGGGCGGGAGCTGCTGCCGGAGCGGGAGCGGGAGCGGGATCGGGATCGGGATCGGGATCGGGTGCGGTGCGGGATCCGTGCGGGATCCGGGGCTGTGCGGGATCCGGGGCTGTGCGGGATCCGGGGCTGTTCAGGATTCAGGGCGGTGCAGGTTCCAGGGCTGTGCGGGATCCGGGGCTGTGCGGGTTTCAGGGCTGTGCGGGATCCGATGCCGTGCGGGTTTCAGGGCTGTGCGGGTTTCAGGGCTGTGCGGGTTCCGATGCCGTGCGGGTTTTAGGGCCGCTGAGGTGCGTGTGAGCCGGGACAGGGGCACCCCAGCCCCGCAGAATTGGGGAGCAGCATTTGTGCCCGGAGGGGTTAAAGGGGGGATCAGGAGCACAAAGGGAGCGTGGGGATGGGGAGAGGTGAGCGGAACCCATGGGGCTCGGTGTCCCTGAGTGTGTTCCTAAAGGAATGAAGGTGATAAAACTCTCGGTGTTTTCASGCTGGTGTGGCGGCTGATAATTGGGGTGAGAAAGTTGGGGCTGTTCAGCCTGGAGAGGAGAATCTGGCGTGGAGACCTCACAGCAGCTTCTCCCATCTCAGGTGGCCCTAGAGGAAAACCAAAGAGGGACACTTTGTGAGGAACTGCAGTGACAGGACGAGGAGTAATGGGTACAGAGTGAAAGAAAGGAAACTTCAGTTAGATGTGAGGAAGAAATTCTGTACTGTGAGGATGGTTAGCCACTGGAAAAAGATTACCCAGGGAGATTGTGGATGCTCCAGCCCTGGAAGTGTTCAAAGCCAGGTTGGATGAGGCATTGACACCTTGGTCTAGTGGGAAATGTCCCTGCCCATGGCAGGAGTTTGGGATTAGAGGATCTTTCAGGTCCTTTCCAGCCCCCTAAGATGCTGTGATTCTGTAATGGCTTAAAGGAAGAAGACTAYAGATAGGAATAAAATTTGCATTTGGCCTTAGGACCAAAACAATGCAAGTCATATGGTTAAAGTRTTAGTGGTAATATGGTGGTTTTATTGTATGAATTAATAAATAACCACGCATCTGTGGAGGGACTCTGTGTGTTTGAGTGCTGCCTGTGTCAAACCTGGCTGGCTCCCAAGCGAAACATTCTTGGGTGCTGGGGCCTTCAGATCATTTACACACCAAAATCTGTCAAAGGCCTGAGATTTCAGGTGGTTTTCACATGGTGTGTAAAGGTCTGATTTCACAAAAAGACATCAACTAATGTCAAATCTCTCCTGGGACTAAAGGAGTGATTCTGAAATCAATTGTGTACCTTGAGCTCTTGTGTTCTAGCACAGGAGCCTGATTTCCTGAAAACTGCTTGAAAGCATGACAGTATTTCATACAGTCTTGCAACCTTGGTTAACTCTGGTTTTAGTTAGACACACAGTGTGTAAAGAGGCAGAGGAGTAAAGAGAATCTGGAGGTAGTGATGTATAGTTTCTTATCATTTGGTTGAAAATGCTAAAATGCTGTGTTTGATTTTTCTGGTGTGTTACTTTTTTTTTGTATTGCTGTTGGGTTGCCAAGAGTAGCACAAAATCTACAGTTATTGCTGCAGTCTGTAGAGCCACTTTTGAATTTAGTAAGGTTAGTAAATATTTCAATTGCTGAAATGAACATGCTATGTTTAAAAATAATAAGCTTAAGTGCGACTTTTGTGTTGTAAATATGTTACAGGCCAAAAACCTTTTACATTTTTTCTTTATGCAAATGAGTAATCCATGCTTTTTAAAACTTTGTGTGTAGGAATGTAGATTTTCATCCTGGAGAAGATATCACTTCTGTGAGACCTTGATTTMGCTCACTGAAAATGAAGCAAGATTCTACTAGAAACACTTCCTACACTGTGGATTGTGAGGATTACGTGCACGTGGTAAAATTCAATCCATTTGACAGYGGGGATGCGTGTTCCCTCATTGCTTATGGTGGCAACAATTAYGTGGTTGTTGGGACTTGCAGATTCCAGGTTAGTCTGACTTATTGTTGATTTGATTAATTTTCTCCTGAAGGATGATTGGCCACTTTCCTATTTCCTCCTCTCCCTGCTRTAAATGGGATGATTTGACTTGTTTGTTACATTAACAAATCTGGGATACTTGTTCTKCAGGTTCTTGTTTATATAKAAATATATATATAAAATATATATTAATATAAATTACTATCCTTCTGGTATAAACAGGGGGATATAAATTTCCTTTTGACTAGAACCATAGAGTCACAGAATGGTTTGGTTTGGAAGGGATCTTAGAGATCCTCTATTCCCAATTTCCCCTGGTTGCTCAGAGCCCCATCCAGTCTGGCCTTGAACACTTTCAGGTTTGAGGCATCAGCAGCTGCTCTGGACARCCTTTCCCTGTGCCTCAACCCCTCCCAGTAAAGAATCTCCTCCAGTAGCTTATCAAAATCATCCCTCTTGCAGTTTCAAATYGTTGCTTCTCATTCTATCACCACACTCTCTGAATGGACTGCAAAAAAATCAGAAATATTTTACTGGAAGAGTAATCCCATTTTGCTGTCTCTTGCTAATGTTGGTCAATGCTGTCTCAGAATTTAAATGCCCAGCTTTGAGAATATGTGACATTATCTTTGCTCTGTGTTGTTCTTTATCATTGGTGGGTAGTTGGCACATTTTTTCACAGTTCTATTTTGTTCTGCATGTATTTGCTAATTGGATTAAATTATCTACTAGAGCTTCCAGCTAGCCTGGGAAACAGCAAAGATTACAACTATTTTCAATGTTACAACTAAAATATCTGTGCTAATTTTATWGGTATTTCTTTTTAGGGATGGATTGTAGAAATATCTAATTTTTTTTCCCCTCCCAGTTGTTTTTACTGGATCTCCTTTACAGACTCTTGGAACAGTAAAGTTTCTTACCTTGAAATTATTTAGAATTATCATATTGTAACAAATTTTAAAATGTAAAATACTGAGTGATGTRTATTTTTAAACCATATAAAATGTTTTTCCTTAGCTGGGTTTTTTTGCCTAGGTGCTTGGCATTCAATTGGACACAATTGCTTGGAATTTCTAAGCTTTGTTTGTTCATCTTGTTTCTCTATTATSCAGTATTTTTAATGTTGTCTATTATGAATAATAGCATAGCTCATATTTTTATTTTTATTATTATTGTTATTTCCCATGGTGTTACTGCTGGAAATTTTCTGAGAGGCACTAGTGCTAACCACAAAAACACACTGACATTTGTGTTGCTCTCTCACTTGTTACTGCTGTAGGCCTTGAAAGGGAAGCAATTAAAATTTTGACAACCACTGGTACAAGGTGGTTTTTTTTCTATAATTTTCATATCCTCCCTTTCCTTCCACATGTGGAGTCACTGAGTATTTCCAAGTAGGAGAGGAAGATGTTATTCTTTCTTCCTGGTGAGAAGCATTGAAAAGCTGTGGGTAATTTCATGCATCCTCAGCTTGGCCTCTACATTGTGCACAGGGCATGCAGAGAGGTTCTTTACCTTAAAGCAGAAATTCTGACATAGAAAAAGTTCTGTAAAAATATCCTTTTAGGTGCTCCCTTGGTTGTTTTGAAAACTTGTAGAAGTTTTCTRGAGGTCAGCTCATTGATGGAGGCCACAATCCTAATTCTTGTTTCATYTTTTTGCTATCATGTGGTGTTGTCACCAGTGAGAAAAATAAGCAAGCCTGTAATTGTGGTTAGATGACAGAGGGCACCTTCCCATGTCCTGCTGTTTGAAGAGCCATGCTCTGAAAGTGGCAGCATTTTTCCATGCTGTAAAAGCATCTCAGAGAGAAGACAGTTTCAATTACAGGCTTGCTTTTGTTCCCCTTGTTTCTCCTCATTTCAGTGTGTATTAATTTATCATGCTGTTATAAGTGGATTTATCTGGGAAGATACTTCTTKTACAGAGGATGAGCTCAGCATCTTTGTAGCTCAGTTCTGATTTTTGTGCT